CGCCCATCTGGCTGGGTTCCCCAGCCACTCTGGGCAGCTTCCAACAAAAGATTAAAAATCCATTAAAAACTTCCCTAAACAAGGCTGCCTTCAGATGTCTTCTAAATGTAAGAGAGTTGTTTATTTCTTTGACATCTGATGGGAGGGTGTTCCACAGGGTGGGCGCCACTACCGAGATGGCCCTCTGCCTGGTTCCCTGTAACTTCACTTCTCACAGTGAGGGAACTGCCAGAAGGCCCTCGGCGCTGGACCTCAGTGCCCGGGTTGGATGATGGAGGTGGAGACGCTCCATACTGGGCTGAGGCCGTTTAGGACTTTAAAGGTCAGCACCAACACTTTGAATTGTGCTCGGAAACGTACTGGGAGCCAATGTGGGTCTTTCAAGACCGGTGTTATGTGGTCTCGGCGGCTGCTCCCAGTCACCAGTCTAGCTGCCGCATTCTGAATTAGTTGTAGCTACATAGCTGAGACATTGTCATATTCACTATGTGACCCTTGACTGGTTCCGAGCATTCCAAGAAGGAGGAAAAAGCCTTCGCCAGAAGGTGGATAACATACAAAATGCGAGAGAATCGTGAACAAACAGCAACGACAAGAGATGAAAACGTCTGACCATTAAGAGAGTTTTGGGGAAATTGGCTTCCCAAATCCTAGGTTTTTTGCTCAAAAACCAATCCTACAAACCTCCCTACTATTCATGGAACCAGGGGCAGCCTACATTTTAACAGAGGCTGAAGCATCCCATCAAGGGTCCTTCATACTAGCTTGTGAAACACTGCCTCTGGGATCCTTATATAGCCATCCGAAGCATGGTGTTAAAATTTCTGCCAAAAGATTTAGCAATAGTTAATCTCTGGATGACAGGAGCTGGGTGTTCATGACAAGAGGCGGTTCCGCCTGTGGTTTGTTATGGTTGCTTCTTGTTCTGTGCTTTTTGGCCGTTGTTTTTTGTTGTTCCTCATGAACCACCCTAGAGCAGAAAGGCAGTGCAGAAAAGTGTTAACTAACTAAACAAACCAACTACCCAACTTCATGCTTAGTCAGTCATACACTGTAAACGAGCCCAACTAGTATTTTGGCTTGCTGGCCAGTGTTCAGTTCAGTCCTAATGCCAGTCAGCGGGTGATGATTTAAAATCTGCTGACGCCCAGGAATCAAAAAGTATAAGGAATATGGGCACAAGGGGTTGGCTCTGCAAAACTACTTGGGCAGGGGACCACCTGAATACCAAATTAATCTCTTAAAATGAAGTGTGGGCCATTTATGTTTCCAAAATCAGATTGGTTCAGGAAAGTATTTTGGGGAAATAGCTTGGCTTATTTCCATTGCCTATCCAATTCAATTTGGGGTGGAGCTTGTTCCTTACTTTCTTGGACCTTAAAACCCAATCACAGTTCAGTTATCTTGCAACCTTTATTCTTAAGATTTTGATAAAACTGAATGACAAAGATCCAAAGCCACTGAGCAGCTTGATTATCTCGGATCTAAGCTTCTGCAGAAGAAGTACCGTATTTTTCTCTCTATAAGATGCACCAGACCATAAGAAGCACCTAGTTTCTGGAGGAGGAAAACAAACAAAAAAAATATTCTGAATCCTAGAAGCCAGAACAACAAGAGGAATCACTGTGCAGCGAAAGCAGCGATCCCCCTTGGTGTTCTGGCTTCTGGGATAGCTGCGCAGCCTGCATTCGCTCCATAAGACGCACACACATTTCCCCTTACTTTTTAGGAGGGAAAAAGTGAGTCTTATAGAGCAAAAAATACGGTAACTAAAGGTAAAGGTACCCCTGCCCGTACGGGCCAGTCTTGCCAGACTCTAGGGTTGTGCGCTCATCTCACTCTATAGGCCGGGAGCCAGTGCTGTCCGCAGACACTTCCGGGTCACGTGGCCAGCGTGACATCGCTGCTCTGGCAAGCCAGCGCAGCACACGGAACACCGTTTACCTTCCCGCTAGTAAGCGGTCCCTATTTATCTACTTGCACCCGAAGGTGCTTTCGAACTGCTAGGTTGGCAGGCGCTGGGACCGAACGACAGGAGCGCACCCCGCCGCAGGGATTCGAACCGCCGACCTTTCGATCGGCAAGTCCTAGGTGCTGAGGCTTTAACCCACAGCGCCACCTGCGTCCCTGAAATAGAAACCTATTTCAGCTGTTGCAAACTCTGAAGTCTGACAGCCTAATACTCACCATTTTTACTGAAAATGTTCCAATCCCATCCTTTAAGACAGGAATGGAGAACTTGTGGTGCCCCGGATGCTGCTGGACTACAACTCCCATCATCCCAGACCGTTGGCCATGTTGGGGGTTGATGGGAATTGGAGTCCATCAACACATGGAAGCCCTCAGATCCCCTGTCCTTGCTTTCAGATAATCTGCTTGCTGGTTCAACAGGCTCAGCCTGGGATGGCCTACCTCCAGAATGCTACTCTAGGTTTTTATGGCATACCAAGGCTTGAGGAGAAGGTAACTTCTGTGACATGAGACTTCCTGAGAAGCAGAACATGAGACAGAACATGTGTTCTTGTCCATGAGGTAGAGAGGCCGACCTGTGGCAAAGCAGAGATGTCTCTGGTACAGTTCTGAATGAAGGCCCAATCATTTCTCTATAAAGAATTGGGATTTATGTGTGTTTGTGACTTGAACTAGGCGAGAGGGTGCTTGACCTGGTTCACCAACATTTTTTGTTCTCTTTTCTCAACAGCTGCCCAGCTGTTAGGAGGAGGAGGTGACTCCCTCAGCATAGGAGGGGAAAACGGAGCCCCGGGTGGCTCTCTCAACTTAGGGGACGGATCCGCTGGTGGCTCCCTCAACTTAGGAGGAGGAGGGGACGGAGGCCTTGGTGGCCTCCTCTCAGGAAATGGAGGCCTTGGTGGTCTCCTCTCAGGAGGGGGAGGGGGAACAACCCCACCCCCTACGACGACAACGACAGCATCAACAACCACAACGACGGGTAAGATTCTATCTCTTTCAGAAAACATACGAAACAGCTGGGCCATGAAATGCCAGCTTTGTTTGTTTGTTTGTTTTGTTCTGGAGTAAAGGCATTACAGTATTTACCACCCTCTGCAGCACTGCCCTCCGGTGGCCATTTTTTGCCTCAGAAACTTTATGCTGCGTGATGATGTAGTGTTGTTTTGAGGGTGGTTTGTGAGGGGGGGGGGGGATGGCAGCCACCAATGGCTCATAGCTTCCATTTTTCTCTGTCACTGCTTTCCTCTGTGTTTTTCTTTCTTTCTTTGCCACTGCTATGAAATACAGCGGGAGATATTTTCTGCCACAGCCCCACCTTTTGCCTCCCCACTCTACTACCCCACATTTAAGCAAAAGCTGTGCCTTTTCTCTTATACAGTGGTACCTCGGGTTACATACGCTTCAGGTTACATACTCCGCTAACCCAGAAATAGTGCTTCAGGTTAAGAACTTTGTTTCAGGATGAGAACAGAAATCATGCTCTGGAGGTGTGGCAGCAGCAGGAGGCACCATTAGCTAAAGTGGTGCTTCAGGTTAAGAACAGTTTCTGGTTAAGTACGGACCTCCAGAATGAATTAAGTACTTAACCCGAGGTACCACTGTAATACAACCTGGAGATGGGTCAGCTGTAGAGAGCTGGTCACACTGGTAACGTTTCACCACGTAAAGTCGTTTTATGTTGTCCTCTTGCGAGATGAAATGACATTCCACAGCATTCATGTCTGTCCCTGCTTTTGCTTTCTGCCAACAAAAGCCACCACCACCACGACTCCGACCACCCCACCACCACAACTCCGACCACCACCACCACGACTCCGACAACTACCACTACTGGTAAGATTGATTCCAATGTAACTCATAGACAGCCATCCTGGTAGAGTGATTAGAAAGTTACTTTTATTTTATTTTTTATTTATTACACCGCCCTTCATCGAGAGACCGCAAGGCAGTTCACAGAATAAATGCAACGTAAACCACAAGTAAATAATTAAACCGAGACAGCAAAACAATAAGCCCCCTCCCCACCACAGATACAATTAGAAGGCTGTGGGATATTAACCAGCCTGCTTGAAGAGGAATTCAAACTGTGGCCTCCTAATAGACTATAATATATATACGTGTGCACACAAATTGTACACCACCCTTCATCTGAAGATCTCAGGGGTGTTAAAAATATAAAGTAAAAACACAAAAGATACAATAAAAGCAAGAGCAAAACAAACACACCAGGGCTGGATTTAGGTCTGATGAGGCCCTAAGCTACTGAAGATAATGGGGCCCTTTATATGCCCAGCTGTCCTTTGTCAACAACGAATTGTCGCTGTTTTTGGTTTTGAATCTATGCTATATGGTCATTTATGGACCTAACAGGCATCTAAAGCCATTTGCACGTGTTGCCATGCAACCAGTCCATGCAGAATGTAGGCACCCTCTATATAGAAATGAGCAAACCAGTGATACTTTAGGGAGCAGGCGAGCTGGCGGGGCCCATTACTAGCATCATAGGAGCCTACACAACACAATACAATGTTGCTGTATGTAGGTTTTATTTTATTTGTTTATTATCTTCTATTTTGGAAATGTACATCTGAGTTTTTTCCCTTTAATTTTTTTTTGGGGGGGGCCCAAAAGAGTGGGGCCCTAAGCTATAGCTTGTTTAGCTTATACGTAAATCCGGCACTGCCCCCAACACATTTAAAAGGACATTGGATGTCAATCAGCTGAAGTTGAAGAGGAACATTTTGTCTGGCGCCTAAAGATATATAATGAAGGCTTCAGACGAACCTCCCTGGGGAGAGCATTGCACAAATGGGGAGCCACTGCAGAGAAGGCCCATCTCATGTTGCCACCCTCCAGACCTCTCGTGGAGGAGCCAATTGAAGGGCCTCAGATGATGAACCAAGAGTCTGGGTTGGTTTATATGGGGAGTGGTAGTCCTTGAGGTAAGAAGCGGTCCCTGAAATTGGACTACAACCCAGAGTAGGGTCAGCAACAGCAAGCTAGTCACCCTGGCATCATTTCACCAAGTAAAGTCCTTTTTCATTCTCCGCTTGCAAGCTGAAACAACATTCTGCAGCATTCATGCATGTCCTTGCCCCTTGTTTTCTGCCAACAGAAACCACCACCACAACTCCGACCACCACCAGCACCACCCATGGTAAGATTGATTCCAATGTAACTCAGAGAGAGCCAGCCTTGGAGAGTGATTAGAGAGTGGGACGGTGGCTGCAGAGATTCCGGTTCAAATCCCCACTTGGCCATGAAGGCCCACTGGGCTTCACCTTGGGCTGGCCAGCCTACCACGCAGGGTTGGGATACGATGAAGGGCAGAAAACGATGCATGCTACTTTGAGATCCTTGGCAGTTGAAATATACTTGGAGTCGAGAGTGGATTTCATGCTCTTTATTCAGCTCATAGTGGTGAGGAGGAATGAATGTTCCCCCAAAGTATCTGCTTTATATACATTATTTACACAATGGGCTGCACGTGATTGGCTAATTCCAGGATTCTCCTGTAGGCCAATCAGGTTGTGGATTCACTTCCATCTGGAGCTGGATTGGGTGGCTCCTGCAGACCAATCATACTGCTGCATTGTTCTAGGACCAATCAGACTGCTGCATTCTGAATTTTATTGTTCTAGGACCAATCAGACTGCTGCATTTTGGATCCTATTGTTCTAGGACCAATCAGACTGCTGCATTTTGGATCCTATTCAACTCAGTACATGACAGCAGTGGAGTCTTTCATCAGCAGTGCTGGGAGAGAGGCAATGATTGCTAATTCCACCTTCACCCCACCCCCCACCCCATAGCTCTACACCACCTCTCAGGCTTTCTCAAAGGGTCCCTCAAACCCTCTAGAGCAGATTTTAGGGATGCGGTCATTGGATAGTCGTTTAGAATCTAAAGTTTGCTTAGCCTTAGGAGCAACCCTTCCCTTGCCCGGTGATCGGACGCTGAGAAATGGGTTATGCTGCAAATCAGTAGGCTGGAGAATAATAAGGGTGTTGGCTTCGATTTGTTCTCCTTCTAGCTTTCCTTTGTCCTACAGAACCTACAACCGCTTCAGATCATGTGTCGCTTGCACCCTGGGCCCTTTCCCTGATTGTTCTGGGCTGTATTGGTGCAGGCATGGCGATCGTTGGAACAGCTTTAACAGTAAGTATGTGATATGTGGGTAAAACCTCAGCGCCTAGGACTTGCCGATCGCATGGTTGGCAGTTCAAATCCCCCGCGGCGGGGTGCGCTCCTGTCGTTCGGTCCCAGCGCCTGCCAACCTAGCAGTTCGAAAGCACCCCCAGGTGCAAGTAGATAAATAGGGACCGCTTACCAGCGGAAAGGTAAACGGCGTTCCGTGTGCGGCGCTGGCTCGCCAGATGCAGCTTGTCACGCTGGCCATGTGACCAGGAAGTGTCTGCGGACAGCGCTGACTCCCGGCCTATAGAGTGAGATGAGTGCACAACCCTAGAGTCTGGCAAGACTGGCCCGTACAGGCAGGGGTACCTTTACCTTTACCTTTTTATGTGATATGGGTTTTTTTTTAAGGTTGTCACTGCACTGATCACCATGGGGGGAGGGGGGAGTGGATTAGGGGATGAGAAGGAGGAGAAGGAGACAAATCTGCTCCTGGGGGTGAGAAAATGGGACTATGGGAACTTTCCCTGCAGAGGTCCTGTGCTCACTTATCTGATCCTAGGTGTATGTGTGAGTCAGCTTGAGGGAGGTATGTCAGATGCATCACAATGGAAAACATACATGGACATTCCCACAATTCCCATGTTTCTGCCCCTTGCAAGGAGCATTTCCTGAATTCATTTCTTTGAAGGATTTTTTAAAATCCCTGTTCTTGAACCCCAAATGTCCCTCTGAGTGGCTCACAGTGATCCAGTAACGAGCCCCTGCCCTCAGGCTCGCAAATCTAAAATATATGACCTAAAAGGAAAAGGAGCTGGGAGGAAGGAGGAAGGAGGAAGGAAGCAAAGTTGGGCACTTATTCTTAATGACAAGGTCCTTTTGTTGGCCAAACAGTTCACTGAAAGGGGGAGCTGAAAGTTTCATGTTTCTCAGCTGGGGAAAGGATTGTAAACAGTGGTGTCAAAAAGAAACAGAAGGGAAAGCCGTTCAGTTTTCCCTTGGAGAAATTATGACGAACCCTTCCCCGAATTCCAGTTGAGTGCTGTCCCAACCAAGTTTCAATCTAGAAATCATTCCGAAAGTACAGAACAGCAGAATAGTGGGTGGAATTCAGCTGTAACAGGCCCTGTTGCTATCCCCTTAGCAGGCATAGAGAGCAGGAAAAAAATCAACACAATTGTGTATTCCTCCTCCCTGTCTCCAGGGGGAGCCATTTCCAAAAAAATATAGTAAGACAAAAGGGAGGTGAGCAGAGGGATTGGGATGACATTAGATTTAGTTTGCATTTGAAGGTGAATCTTTCTGATCCACACTTCCTGAAATAAGTCATGAACTGAAACCCAACCCTCCTTCAAAATCCGCACTTCTATGAATGCTGCAATGTCGTTCTTCAGTAATGTAATGAATATAAAAATGCATATACTAGGGTAAAATGAGCGTTAGAATGCACACATTCGTGAAAATAGCATACAAAAATGCATTATATTAAGGGAAATTGCTTTGCAAAAATGTGCATAGGAGGCAAAATTGTATGCAAAAAATGCAGGTGAATTTTCATGAGGTTTTTTTTTTAAAAAAATCACAAACTGACATGGACATATGGAGAAATGAATGAAAGAGGTGGGAAAACAAGAAACTGAAACTGACAGATTTGGCTGTCGCTAGGTGAACATAACTTAATGTACTAACTCCTTTTTCATTTTTCTAAGGTCTGCTACTGTCTGAAAATGAGAAGATCTCAACAGCAGAACACATGTGGGTCAGGAGGAAGCTATGTTCCACATGCTATGCCGTGCGGGAAATTTTGAGAAGCCACGCAATGGAGATGGTATAATCAGATGGGAATGTGCCAAGTAACCGACCTGCTCGGTTGCTGCTTCTTGAATTAACATATACTCAGGACATTCTGCTTCCTACACTTTGCAGGGCTCAGATTATTAATATTTTGGAATAAGGACCATGCATTTCCTGACAACCAGGCCAGGACATCTTAACCCTTGCTGGACATCTGCTGTGGTTCTGAGAGTCTGGTGGTTCCAGAGTCTGGTGGTTCCAGAGTCTGGTGTGCAGACTGCCTCTTAAGGTTCTATTCTTAGCTAATATCCATTCATATAACTTGACGTGGTGTGGAGAACCTTTGTCCCTCTGGATGTTGTGGAACTACAACTCCCATCAGCCCCAGCAAGCATGGCCAATGTCCAGGGATGATGGAAATTGTAGCTCAGAAACATCTGGAGGGACCACAACTTGTCTAACCCTTACTATTGCCTTACTACTGTATACCACTGGCCCTTGCCCAGGCAAGGGAACAAACCTTTAATAAATATGCAACCAAGAGAATAGCAAGCGTCCTGTAGGGACCCGGTTTACTAAAACTACAGTACAATAAGACAGACTTGCCAATGTGGTTTCACATCTCTCCCTGATAGCTTGCTAGGAGTCCAGAATGATTGCTTGATGTTTCTTTAGTGGGAACTGATGACAAGAGATTTTCACCTGATAGCTGGGAATCTCTCTCCAGCCATTGGAATGTAATACTCAACAGATTGTGGGATGGTGACTCCTTCCAGCAGGTGTGTGAAGAACACAATCTGTATGTAGCATGCAATTTGGCTTTAGAAAGAACCAGAGAGGAAGAGAAAGAGAATATTGGAGCTGCAAGTTGGCTGAAGGTGAATCACCTTGGATGCAGTGAGTCTTTCCAGGATTCTGATGCAAGCTAGTGGATTTGCTGCACGCTATACTAATGCTTATTTGCTTCTGCTGTGCTATTATTTGTATATTTGTAAATAAACAGATATTACAAACGCATCATAATATTTCAGTGCTCTTTCATCCAAAGGAAAATAAATTCTGTTGTACGACCTCCGGAGTCCTCATTATTTGTTGGAAGCGCAGAGCCCTTAACAATATGAAATGCAAGAATTTTTTTTAATTTTTTTTTGCAGGAAACATTTATCAATGTATGGTAAACAATATCTGATGGTAAAAAGTTCGCACAAGTAGGATGAAACAGATATATACAGGATACCCTTAGAGAAGAGGAATCAATATGCCATTGAATAAAGCAAATGGAAGATCTGCAAAGTCAGGCACAAGACAGAGAGAGAGAGAGAGAGAGAGAGAGAGAGGTAGACCAAACAATGTGCTGAAACACCTAAGGCAGATTGCGCCACCTAGCCACCAAACTCAGATCAGAACCAAAGGAACTTCCAGATTCCTCTCTCTCCTCCTCTGTTGCTTTATAGCTCTGTTGTGGTCACAAGCCAAGCTGGTATGCAGCAGCTATAGTTGGGCACTGGAAGGAATATTAAATAAAAATAAAAAATACAGTGCGATATCTCCTACTCTTCTGAACTAGTCATCTCTTTAAGCTCTTTGGTATGATATTCATTCCCTCTCTCCTGGCTATGATATGTCTGCCATTGTTTGATCTTGGCATGGCTACCTTATTACTAATTGCCCTTGAGGAAGCACACCAAAACCTGTATTCATCAAGAAAGGCCACAGAGCGAAACCAAATCTGATCGGTATTTAGACAAAACCCTGAGGTTGAAAATGCATCGTGGAATGCTGGTGTGTGTTCATGCTTCAAATTCCATCCCCAAATCCTCAAGACAGGTTACTCAAATGTATAAGGAAACCTGGCAAAACTTATATTGACTGAGTTTTGAAAAACAATAGTACACAAATGGATTTGTAACCATTTGAAACAGGCATTGTAACATTTAAAAAGACATTGGATGTCAAAGGCCTGACTGAACAGGAACATTTAAAGAGTTTGTGCATATTATGATTATATATATATATATATATTAAAGGTAAAGATAAAGGTACCCCTGACCGTTAGGTCCAGTCGCAGACGACTCTGGGGTTGCGTGCTCATCTTGCTCTATAGGCCAAGGGAGTTGGCGTTTGGTCCGCAGACAGCTTCCGGGTCATGTGGCCAGCATGACTAAGCCACTTCTGGTGAGCCAGAGCAGCGCACGGAAACGCCATTTACCTTCCCGCTGGAGCGGTACCTATTTATCTACTTGCACTTTGACGTGCTTTCGAACTACTAGGTTGGCAGGAGCTGGGACCGAACAACAGGAGCTCACCCCGTTGTGGGGATTCGAACCACCGACCTTCTGATCAGCAAGCCCTAGACTCTGTGGTTTAGACTACAGCACCACCCACGTCCCAAAAGACTATCCTGCAAACCACATTTTTAGTTTGGCTGATAGTTTCTACAAAAGTTTCCATAAACACAGTTTATACACATGTATAAATAACATAAGAAGAGTCCTGAGGGTTCAGGCCAATGGTCCATCGAACTCCAGTATCTTGCTCCCACTGGCCAAACAGATGCCTATGGGAAGTTGACAAGCAGGATCTGAGCATAAGAGCACTCTCCCCTGATGTTTCGGGATGGGATTAAAGGCACATGGCAATTCCGATTGCAACATTATAGCCTTGCGCAACAAACCCACTTATCCAAAGGACCAGACTTTTTGCAAATAAAGAACTGGGTGGGAAGATGCAATGGGAAACGCGAGATGCGTCATCTAACCTCTCCACCAATCAGAAGGGAAGTTCCTTAAATAGTCGACGCCGACTAATCTCCCTGCGAACAAATCAGGATGGATTTGCTCAATAAGCAGTCCATCTGGAAGCAGCCTACAAGCAGTGCCAGCCCTATCATTAGGCAGAGGGAGTGGCTGGCTTTCATTGGGACTACAGGGCACAAGGAGGAAAGGTCCACAAGGGAGGAGAGGTGTTCCTTCCCCGTCCATAATTTCAAAGAAAAAGCGGCTTCCTGTGAGGCTCACCAGCCAGCATTATCCTCAATCCTATAATTAGGAAACAGGTGATTTGTTGGAAATGACTAGTTTCCGGCACTGACCTAGAAACATGCTAAACTGCCTGATCCCTAACCAGGAGTGGTTTGCAGGGTGGAGCAGGATGTGATGGCATTTCTTAGCTGGCTTCTCAATGCAGAGGCAGCAGGGAGGTCAGCAAGTGCCGTCCTCACTCTGTCCCAGCAGGCCGCTACTGCTAGTCAGAGCACTGGCCCATCTACCTTGTTCTGTCTACACTGACTGGCAGCTGCTCTCCTAAGTTTCAGGCAGGGAGGCTTTTCCCAACCCTTCCTGGAGAAACCAGGGATTGAACCTGGGATATATTCCTAACCTGAAAGAGCCAGAGGTCTCTACTCAGTGGGGCTCATTGCCAGGCCAGTGCTTTTTCATTTGCAGCCTTAATAATCTGAAGGGTCATATTTGTTTATTTACAAGTCAGCTCTACAGCTTCATGTACCGGTTTTCAAGACAACCGACAATCTAATAAGCAAGAAAAATTGTGTGTGTTTGTATACATACACCCCGTATTTTTTTGCTCCATAAAACTCACCTGACCATAAGACGCACCTAGTTTTTAGAGGAGGAAAACAAGAAAAAAAATATTCTGAACGAAACAGTGGATGTATGATTGTTGTGGTTCATGCTGTGGCCACATACATGATATGTGATTTGACGGTGAGTTTGGGGTAGCCCAGTGCAAAAATCCTGAGAATCCATGTGGATCCGTGCTTTCTAACCATGTTTTTGCACCATTGCGGCCCCACAAAACAGTGGATGCATGATTTTTTGGGTGCAGGCTGTAGCCATGGACATGCTATGTGATCTGACGGTGAATTTGGGGTGACCCAATGCAAAAATCCTGAGGAATCTATGTGCTTTTACCTTCCCCCTCCCAGGCAGCCTCCTTTATCACTAGCGTCCATTATCTCCCTCCTGATCGCTTGCCGATCAGCTGCTCAGCGGCTTCGTTTCAACACCCCCTTCCCTCTTTCTTTAAAAAAAGCACGGTCTCCTTTTTGCCCCTGGGCAATTCGACTGCAGGGACCACGCATTTGCTCCATAAGACGCACAGACATTTCCCTTACTTTTTACAAGGAAAAAAGTGTGTCTTATGGAGCGAAAAATACGGTATATCCTTAAGAAATAAAATAGAAACAAACTTTGCAGGTAAAAACAAAACAAAACACTTGTCAAGTTGTAACATTAGATTAAGAACACGGGTCTATAATTCTGTGAACAGCTACATGTGAGGAAATCTCCTCCGAACACAGTAAGGACTTTACTTCTGAAGCCACATTCACAAAATGCATTTAAAGCTACAATTCCCAGAGTTCCCTGTGAAGATGGATTGATTCTTAAACCACCCTGGTAACTGTAGCTCTGTGAAGGGTCTCCTAACAACTCTCAGCACCCAGGAAAAAAACCCCTACAGCCCACAGAATTCCTTGGGGGGGGACCATGACTGTTTAAAGAGGTATCACAGTACTTTCAATGCATGGTGTGAATGTGGGCCTGATTAAGTGAATGTAGAATTGGATTATAAACGGCATAAGGGTCTTTTTAGCAATGAACAATGGAGCCACTCATCATATTGTATCTATTGGACCTGATTTTGGCTGAAGCAAAAACCTTGAAATTTGTTCATCCAGATGGGTTGTCATACGTCTGGATTTTCCTGAACATATCTGGAATACTGCAGTCAGCAGCAGTGTCCAGGCGGAAATCAGGAAAATGTCCAGGAAAATCCGAATGTATGGCAGCCCATGGCAGCATTTTTTGTGTGTGATTTTGCCAAAAAGTTCAACAACTTTGGGCAAAACTAGAAAAAAGCTCAGCTGTTTCAAATATGGCAACTCTATAAAACAGCCCCCGTTTTAGCTAATCCAAATGGCATCTCGCCTGATATCTTTTTTTTTTCTGGGAGGTGGGATGGAGTGAACTTGGGAGGTTCTCCGTACAAGGTGTGTGCTCTGCCACTCAATTATGGTCCCTCAGGCTCACA